CCAGCCTCTCATTTTACCATAAGAATGCTGGATTATGTCATAGGCATCTTGTTTGGCTTTAGAGCAGTTCTGGGAATCCCAGCATTTCTCTGACCCCCACTTGTGTTTTTTTCTGTGCAAAACCTCCTTTTTATTCAAATGCATAATAGAAAATATTTCAGCCCCAAAGAAGAATAGTTATGTCAATGTCAGGTAAATGGATGCAACTAGAAAGAGTCACATTGAGTGAATTAAATTAATCTCAGACAACAAATGCTTAGACTTTACAGACACATAAAAGTATGCGTATCCTGATAGCATGCAAGTAGAAGTGAATCAGAGGAACAAAGGAGATGGATTTCAGAGGAAGAAGGAAAGGAAAGCGGGCAGGGAGCCTGGGTGGGGCTTCCAGAAGTATGTAGGAGTATGAACCTAGTACATTGTGTGTGTGTGTGTGTGTGTGTGTGTGTGTGTGTGTGTGTATACATATACACATATTCATGAAAATGACCTAAGCAACAAAAAAAATCTTCATTTAAAATATGTGATATAGCCAGGCGGCAGTGGCACACACCTTTAACCTCAGCACTCAGGAGGCAGAGCCAGTTGGATCTCTGTGAGTTTAAGGCCAGCCTAGTCTACAGAGCAAGATCCAGGACAGGCAACAAAATTACAAGGAGAAACCCTGTCCTGAAAAACTAACAACAAAACAAAACAAAATATGTCATGTATTATAACTGAGAAATGCAGAAATCCTGTTATAGGTCACAATTTTGTATTACTACATAGGTTACTGTCTATATTAAGTTTTATTCTTTGTAATACATATTCGAGTAATAACATCACAATGTACACAAATGTATCACTTCTTAAGATACCTGAAATCATCTATTAGAATCTTCCTTTGGGTGACACTCTATTTGCAACAGTAAATAAGCCTCTTATTTGTCTCAGCTAACAGCCCTTCAGGCACATGCACCTGCTAACGTTTCTCCGCTTTGGGCTAAATCTCCAAATCTACCTTAATCGCTTCCTGCAGTGACTTCATAGCTGGCTCTGTTCTAACAGCTTTCCTTTAAATATTGTCTGGTGTATAAAAGTCACTTTTAGAAAGGTGTTACCTTTTTCCTCGTTTCCATAACACAGAAGCATCCACCTCCTCTGCTTCCTTTTACTGAGCTGCAGACAGACCTGAAAGACTGACTTCTGCAAGCATAAGATGGATCAAGAACAGGATGGAGCATTTCTTAGCATATTGTTTGAAAGCTCAGTGTTTCTTTCACACTGGTCAATTGGACTGATTATGGAGCCTTTGTCTGAAGAAAATGGATAAAATCCCCTCCCCCCTTTTTTTTGCAAGCTGCACTATTATAAGGCAAAGTCTTATCCATTCTTGCACTTTATTCAGAGCGTTAATTTTGAGATAACTGTAGACTCATAAAAAGTTTTTCTTAAAATAATAAAGAAGTAGGGATATGGGTGTTGGAAAAAGAGCACTCACTGTGTAAGAATGGCCACTTGATTTTGGATCTCCAACATCCATGAGAACTAAAAAGTCAGGTGTGACTGTGAAGACCTTTAACTCCAGGGCTGGAGGATGGGCTGGCTACTAGCCTTGCTGAAAGGCCTTGTTTTCAAGGGAATAGGGCAGAGAGTAATAGAAGAGGAAACCCGATGCCCTCCTCTGGCCTCTACATGGGCACTTTCATCCATCCACGCACATGCATACACACATATAAAGACACACAGACACAGATTACAGGAAAGAGAGACCCCCCCCCCATGAATCTGTTTCCAGAGTTCCCTGATAGCAACAGCTCACAAAATGGTATGACATACCAATCAAGATAATGGCATTAAAATAGTCAAAATGCAGACAATCTGTCACTGCAGGGTGCTTCATTTGCCTTTTAATACTTAGTATCCAAGTGGCCTTAAATTCATGTTAATTCTGGGAAGTTACCAATCAATGCTTCATCCAATAATCTTATCATCATGAATGTTGTAAATGTAACCACACTGTAAATAGTGTGGACTGGTCTTTATCATTTAACATAATCTCTGCAGATTCAGAGTAACGTGCACTCAAGCCTTCATCATTTATCCCTTTCCATTGGATTCTTCTCCAGTAGTGTTCCATAGTATCCCCACACTTGGCCCATTCTTCCTTGAAGAACAATTGGATTGCCTACAGTTTACTGCTACTGATTATGAAGCTGATATAAAATTAGCATCAAGGTATTTGTGATACTTTTATTTTTTTTCTTTTAAGTAAATACCAAAGAGTGTAATAGCCAAGCCATATGGTGATGACATAAACTCTTTTAAGGAACCAGCCAAAGTGTGTTCCAGATGTTGGTGCAGATTACCACTCTCACTGAGACTCGAAAGATCTGATTTCCCCACGTTCTGGGATGCACTTGGTGGCATCACTGTTTTTCACTTTGTGAATTCCTATAGCTGTGTACTGATCTCTCCCTGTATTTTAATTTGCATTTCTCCACTGCCTAATGAGGCTGAACATCTTTCAGATGGTGATTTGCCATCTGAATGTCCTTTGGGGTGGAAATTCACTTTCTGCATCTTTTCCAAATTAACTGACTGTTTACTTACTGTTGAGGTTTCAGAGTGTGTTCGTGCATAGGATAGGGTCCTTCAGTTGTAGTTTGAGTAAGATTTTGGCATTGTTCTTCAGCTTCCCCGTCTCTTTTGGAGGAACATTTTCTGATGTGGATGAAGTCTGATTTATTTTTATGGATCTTGTATAGTTTGCCAAGTCTTGGGTGCCAAAGATTTTCTGCCAAGGTTTGCTTATTAAAGTTTAATGGTTTCAAAAGGTTATTTTTCTCCACTGAACTGCTTTTAAGCATTTTTCTAAAATCAGTTAGTGTGAGCTCCCTTTCTGTTGCATTGACCTACGCATCTGCTGCCCCACCAGCAGCAGACAAGTTATCTTCACAAAACTGCAAGGATACCTGGAGGAGGGGAATTGATGCTCCCTCCTCCCCTCATGCCTTTGTTCATTTTTCATTTTTTATTTTCAAAAACTTGAATTATTATGGTTCTGTTGTCTTTAAATATACACATAGGGATGAGCTTTGTAAGGCAGAATGTCTGGCTGGTCCTGTGATGA